AAAAGCTCATCATTGAAATTAATAATCTACGGGCTCTGCATATGGCAGAAGTTGAACACACACACATCACTCGGTAAGAGCTTAACCTTTAAACACCAGATTTTTTAAAAGATGGTAGCTTGAGCTGGCCAGAGTTTATTTAAGTGCCTGCTGCTAGTGCGCATTTAAATGCCTGTTCCTGTTAGGTTGCTTGCACTGTATTTGAAAATGATATATCTAATAAAATTTTTATGATAAATGAATGGAATTAAAGTTGTTATCAGCAAAGAACACAGTGTCACATTTTATAACATAAGATTTGAAAATATGTAGACAAAAAGTTATAAAACTATTTTTATTTTTTTCCTTGTGATGTTGATGCATACCATAAAAATAGTTCCAACTTCTTTACATAGTAGTTCTGCATTATAAAATCATGCCTGCTTTTATCACTTGAAATATTTTCGCATTCTCTGGTGACATAAAACAGTTGGAAGCAATAAAGTCATTTGGTCCTCTGTTTTGCAAGTTTCAATTTGTTACTCTTCAGATATTCCAGTCTTTTGACTAGAGGACAGTGAAAACATGACCTTTCAAGAAGAGCTTGACGGAATATTCATTGTTCCCTGCTTCAGTGCCAAGCCCGGCCATTGCAGCTGCAACACAATATTGTCCTGTCTATGGTTGCAACAAAATGCTTGCAACACAGCTGAGATACAGAGTGCATTCATTTTTATGTAAGTTCATAGTGAATTTGAATATTTTAGTTTTGCTTTATCATACAATGGCAGTGAAACGTCGTATGGAAGATGATGAAATTGAAAGGTAGTTCATATGGTTCATATGCAAGATATATGCCATGGGACTGATTCCTTGGGTGCTTCAAAGAGTATTACACAAAGGCGAGATTCAGTTACTTGACATGGGTGTTCAAGCCTGTATATATGAGAAGCATTCTGTATATAATGCCCCCTATTTTTTTTAATGAAAACAGATACAGAAAGCATAATAACACAGTTAAATAGAGCAAGATTTCAGTTACTTACAGTTATTTTTCTACATAATCACCACCATTCGTTATGCACTTTTGCCAGCGATGAACAAGAGCCTGTATGACGTGCCTGTAAAAGTCTGCACCAGCAGAGGCTAGCCACTTACAGCTGCAATGACAGCATCATTGCCTGGAAAATGTTGCCCACGTAGTCCATCTTTCATAGGCCCAAAGAGATGGAAGTCTGAAGTTGCTAAATTGGGGCTGTACAGTGGATGTGGTAGGACAGTCCAGCCAAACTTTGCAGGCAAAAGGTTGTCTGCTTCACTGGCCTGACTCGGGAAATGCAGGCTTTCAGCTTAGTCAGCGTCTTCTTGTAGCATTCAGAATTGACAGTCTCACCAGGCTCCAGGAAATCCAACAAAATTACACCCCGCCTATCCCAAAAGACCGTGCACATCACTTTCCCTGCTGATGGCTGTGTCCTGAACTTCTTTTTTCTTGAGGAATCCGGATGTCGCCCCTCCGTGGACTATCTTTTGGATTCCGGCTCGTAGTGGTGACACCAAATCTCATCACCGGTGATGATGCTGTCCAGAAACTTGTCACCTTCAGCCTCAGACTGGTGCAGTAGGTCCTGACAGACTTCCATTCGATGAGTTATGTGGTCCTGTGTAAGCATCCGCGGGACCCACCTGGAACAAACTTTGCAATAATCCAGCTTCCCCAACATCGTTTCCAATGCATTACAGCCGATATTAAGCCGTGCAGACAGTTCCCTGGTCGTTATCCGCTGATCTGTACAGATGAGCTGATCGAGGTGCTGTTCACTGTGAGGAGTGGCAGCTGAGCAGGAATACCCAGGGTGTGGCTTGTTGGGCACTTCAATTTCGCCACTGCTGAAACGCACTACCCACCGCCTCACTGTGCTGACATCCACTGTATCGTCACTGTACACCTTTAGCAAGCGTCGATGGATGTCAATGTGTGCAATTTGTTCGGCAGTGAGAGATTCAATAACGCATCTCTGTTTCGTATGCACCTCTATGTCAGATGCCATTTTGGTAGACTGCTCTGCTGTCGCTATCTGTCGCACGACAACCAAACTAATAGTACATTGGCGGGAAGGTTCAACCCTTACTACAACACCAACATCCAGCTCAGACATTACAGTAACACAAAAAATAGGAGGCATTATATACGGAATATGCTCTTCTCTTGATTTTATATAATTTATGCATATTTTTGGAGTGTCAGTGGAAAGTACGAGGGTCGTACTGAAAGTCATGAGCAACAATTTTTTGTAAAGTAACATGCTTTATTATGGACAAACCAAATACACCACCTCAATCTACAGTTTATTTTTCCACATAATCTCCCACCGTTCTGGGAGTTTGAAAATTCCCCTTCTGTAAAATTCCGTTCCAACCATCCGAAGACACTGACACACTGCTTTCTGATTTGCCTCCCCTGTCTCAAAACGTTGTCCATGCAGCTGATCCTTCACAGATCACGGGTGGGTGCCAGATCACGGCTATAGGAAGGGTGTGAACTTCCCACCCCATCTTTGCAATTGCTTCCAATGTGAGGTGAGCGGCGTGGGGGCGAGCGTTGTCATGCAGGATGATGATGTTTCGTCCCGGACATTTATCGTGCAATGCAGGATGGAGCTTGTGCAGCATCTGGACATAACGAGCAGCATTGAGGATTTGCCTAGGTTTCAGGAATTTGGCCAGAATAAACCCCTCTGCATCCCATAAGACTGTGCCCATCACCTTCACAGCTGATGGCACTGTCTTTGCAAATGGTGCCATTCCATACTCTGCCATTTCTTTTCAGGCTCGATATGGTGAAACCAGCTTTCGTCAACTGTCACAATACAGAGCAAAAAATCATCGCTTTCGTGTTGATATCTCTGCAGCAGTTCTGAGATGATGGCTTTTCACTGAACTTTTGTGGTCTTCGGTCAATAACCGCGGGACCCAACGAGCACAGACTTTCCTATAGCCCAAGCTTTCAATCATCTCCTGTACTGCACTGTGCCCTGTTCCAAGTTTTGGGGCTATTGTGTCCACAGTCACACACTTGTCATCTTGAATGATCTCATCCACTCTTTCCTTGTTGCATTCAGTTGAGGTTGTTCAAGGACAACCGCTCCGAGGCTCATCTTCGATGCTGGTGTTCCCATCTTTAAAATGTTTCACCCATCTTCGGACACTGCTCGCACCATGCACACACTTCCATAAGCACGCTGAAGTCTCTGGTGAATTTCTGCAGCAAGGATTTCGTCTTTCATAAGAAATTCGATGACAGCATGCTGGCAAAACGACATATGGTTGTAGGCCATATTGTTAGGAGTGATACTGGTCACATAATGCAAGCTATTGATGTCACAAGACACTCAAGGTTAACACAACAGCTGGTTCCACCTGCCACCATACTCTCTTTTGTCTGCTGTTCCCAGGTTGCATGCAAAAAAAAGTTGCTCATGACTTTCGGTATGACCTACGTACTATTTTCTTGGATGTGACATCATGTAGTCTGGTAGAAGTGTACCAGTGTTCCTTTGAAACATTGTTAATCTTATGCCAGACTGCACAGTATCATCCAGACTATTATACCCGTCATGGTCACTGCCACAAGAACCTCGAACCTCACTAGTCTCTTTATGTTCCAGAAATTCTGATTGTTTTAATTTCATATGTGTGCTATAATATTTTATTCTTGTGTTTCATTCTTGCTGATTTCTTGCATTTTATTACCAACCATTTATCTCCAAATCCTCTCCTTTGTAATTAAACAGAATGAGCATGCATTGAAGTTAAAGTGTATTACCCCTTTTGATATCAGACACCAGCGCTGCTAACAGGAATAGAGAAAGATGCTGAGAGAGAGAGATGTTTTTTTTTAGAAGTTGATATGTGCTGCGATTGCCAGTTATTACAGTTCTCGTGGGTCAGGGTAGTTTACATGGTACTGCAAAAATCAAGAGCAGTTATCAAAAATTGAGTTTTGTTTTGGTCTCAGTAATTGAAAATGTACATGATATTTTACAGCACAGTAAAATTCCAAAAGACATATACTGTACCCTACAGACTTCAGACATTTGAAGAATATTAATGAAGTTCACAAAAAGTCGTATTATCGGACTTCTGCTCTTCTGTAACATAGTTTAAAACTCTGTTCACTTCAGGTTCAAATCAGGTGTTACCCATTATTGACACTAATGATAACTAGTAGTTCAAGTCTAGATACTGATAGCCATATTCTCAAAAAGCCATCATATGAATAGAATGGGGTATTATGTAAAATATGTGTCCAATGAAATTTTACATATTTGATTCACTCCAGTAAACATAACGTAACATATTCCTACAGATTAATTTTTCTCTTCCAGATGTATAATTTCATTTGGTTTTAATTAAATCCAAATTTGAAGTATCATGAAAAGTCCAAGAATGTCTAATGAAGGTAAAATTGTCCCCATGCTCAATTAAGCATTATGCCATGAAGACATATGCGGCAGTGGAGGTATAGCTCCACCATTCTTGACCTTGACACTGGGTGAAGGTGAGTGGTCAGCTTCATGCCCTGACTGCTTTACCCCCTGGGGGAGTAACCCCTGGTACCCATTGGATAGGATGTTAGGTGGGCCTCAGCGTTGGTCTGGATTGCTACAGAGGAGAGCAATATTCTCTGCCAGGAATTGAACCTTGGCCATCTAGCCTGTAGCATGTTGCTATACTGGCTGAGCTATCTCATGAAACAAAATTATATTTCTTCAAATTTTAGTAAGGAATCTCATTATGAATATTTATCATCAAATCTATTCACTGTGACCAGTTAGTTGTCTCTGTGTACTGGCATACTCAAACAGCATTAGGAAGCAGTACTTCCATGCAGAAATTGCTGTTTGATTTGAAAAAGTAACATAATTTCCTCCTTTCATCTACAGATCTGTAAGTAAAGACATGATTTTCTTAAATATGAACAGTAGACAAACAGCTATTAAATCATGACTACTCTTTTGCCCCATTATATTATTATTGATGAACTGTTATCAGATTTAATTTCAGAGGAATACAGTTACAGTAACATGTGTTTACACATTCCAGGGAGAAGTTTTATGGACTTTGTGAGCATTCCTTTCTGTTGTTTATGGTAAAATGTTTTGCAACAACCACTTACATGATAATTGTGGAGGTACTGTGAGCAACCTATTTTAGTCATGTTAAGCATATTAAAGGATACTGTTATTTTCTTGTAACAGTTACTTGAGCCATAATTTGTAGCATATGTTTCACCCTCCAATTACAAACTGGTTTCATGTATGTTAGATTTGAGGTTCACACAGCAGGAACTATGATGCTGGTAGAAGTTAGCTGATATTTTGGAGGAACTTACTGCCTAGGTCAGAGAGTAAGCCAAGCAATGGGCATAGTTGTGCACTCCTTGCAGCTTGTTTAGCTTACTTTTCAGCTCTGAAGGTGGATGCTGTATGTCTCTCAGAAATGTCGATAAACTACCAGACTACACTACAGACACCCCCGTGTCCCAGAAGATAGTACTCTGTGATTTTATGTACATCTACACATCTTGTGAAGCCACAGTAATGTAGATGATTTAATTATCCATGGCTTTCTCCACATTGTTAATAATCTGCAAATTTTGAGCTGCAAAGTAGATTTTTAAAGTAAAAGTACAACATTTTTTTTTTGTGGTTAGCACTGTGTTCATAGTAACTGTGCTGTCAAAAGGTGTCATATTGTTCCATTTTTAGCATCTTGCAGCACCATCAGGCAGAGGAAGGTAATGTGAAATGTCTATGAAACTAGTGATAAGCTGATACAACTTCAGATGTTTGCCCTGGAATTTGAAATCTGTGAATGTATGTGTGAACTTTATGGCACTAATTTCAAAGGGAAATGTATTGGTAACAATGTTTTTAAGAGAAGAGATTTGTTACTGCAGTCAGCCAGCCAACATAATGTTCTGTAAAAATGAGATACTAGGAAATCAAAAACTGCTTGGATTTGCTTAAGAAATACAAACAGGAGCTCGTAACTGTTGAATTACCATTTCACATTTCATGGGGGAGGTGTGCAGTGTACTCCTGTCACATGATCAGGATATTGGTTTGTAAACTTTCCCAAATTTTATCTTCTCTACGTGTTTTATATAACATCTGGTTACATGTGACCAGAAGTGAAACTATATTTATGGCAGTTTTCCTGTGTGAATGGACAAAAATCACTATGATAAAAAAGATACATAACAGTTGTTCTAGTGGGGTTGAACTAGCCTCCAACTTTGTATATAGTCATCCCTATGAATGCAGTGGGCTTTATATTCCAAGAATTGTGGCAGCCAAGGCGATGAATTTACTTAATGCATCTTCAGAGTCTGCAACAGTTCATACATCTGTTTCTTCTTCATTTTTAGACTTGAGTATGTAACTTGTTGCAGTTGCCAAAGGGAGAAAGAATCTTAATATATTATTTGTTAATAAAAATATCTTCAAACAGCTTAAGTGAAATAAAATATAAGGAATGCTACTAAACTTTTAAGAGCCAAAGTAATGCCTGGCCAATTTTGTTAATATGGTCTCTCTATCCAAGACAGGATTATTTCTTATTGTTAATCATGACAGAAGTCGCATCGGTGTGTTAAAAAGTGTTAATATGACTTCACAGTGATTTGCAAAATACACTGTAAAAGTTTAGTGATGAAGTCAAATGTGATGTTTAATTAGTCCATTCACTGTCTTGTCTTAGTAATCAACCTGAGCCAAGACAGAATGGAGTCAATTTTTATTATTAAGTATTGTGAATGGCACCAGAAGTGTGTGACATTTATTATTTAAAAAAACAATGTATAATCTACATATTTAATGAGCAAATTGTGTTCTTACTTAGTGTTAACTTCTCTGGGAATATAAACGTTTTTCAGTTCTACAATCAGACCTAGATCACTGCTGAAGAAAGAGAGGTCCAATATTTTAGTCATGCTTTAATTAGATACATGATTATTTCTTTTTCCCAAGCCCAGTGTTGCCAGTTGCCATATTGACTGTCATCAATTCTTCCCCCTTGTGTGTGCATTGTGAGAATTGCTTTTATAGTGAGAAGGCCCATAGGAATATACATGTAAACTATTCTGTTTCCAAAATAAAAAGAAATTAACACTAAAATGTTAATACAAATAATTCTGATGAATTCATTGGATGTCAGTTCCAGACTGTCTTTGATCTCAGTTTTGATACATAAGAATTAAGTGTTTAAGATATATCATGCAAAGCTCACTGTTTATTAAACAAGGATGCACAAAGGATTGCAGGAAAAGCCATTATTATTAAGCTCAAAGAAAATCACATAAAAATAACAGGCAAAACTGATTTTAATAGTATGAAATATCTATATACTACACATGGTATATACAATATAGTTCATGTACACAAGAACATCGGGGAGATGATAACTATACTGTGTGCAGTAGTTTATATATAACTTGTTTAAAGTTATCATGAATTGTCATCTTAATGGTCACTTGCAAACTGCAACAACTACAATCACCAGAATTCAACAAGAAAACATTTTTTTAAGTTGGTAACAGTTTCCTCACTGAAATAAAATGCCTTGCTTTGGACACACATATTAACTGTTCTTTAGGTACCTAAAGCACCACTGTTCTTGTTCCACCAGAATCTGAAATATTAACCTTCATCTGCTCTCCCAGATGCTTCTCAAGCATGTTGCTGATATGACCATCTTCAGGTTCTGGAGGTGGCCAGATTTCATCTGGTGGTGGTATAATGTAGTTTTTACCTGCATACAGCAGTGATGACGTGATATCCTCTGGTGTCTCTTCTATATGAGAACGCTTGATTGGTGGCTCATAATCATGGTCATCCACCAGCAGATTGTTGAACCTCAGAAGTTGAGCCATATCAGATATGAACTTGGCTGCATCACCTTAATGGGAACTGCTGGAAGTCCCATCTTCTGAGACCCTAGACTCAGGGAATTCTAGCAAGTTTCTTGAATGACCTATGAACAAAAAAAGACATGTTTTAAAATTACCCTAATGAACAATATTAAATACCGACTGATGAAGCTGTGATCAATCTTTAAGTATCACCTTCAGAGAATGGGGATTTTAACTCATTAATACTGAAGAAATAGAACACTTGGTCAGCTAGACTTTGCACATGTCATCACAATAATGCAATGTATGGCCAGCATAATCATATTTCTCAGGATTACTATTACTATGTTTTTGGACTTCGTCCATTGTGTGGTATTCTAAGAAACACAAAGAACACAAAATTTCAGAAAATGAGTGTTTCCATCCTCAGATTCCAAAACAGTGTGTTCTTTAGAATACCAGATGATGGACAAGGCCCAAAAACCCACTGATCATGAGTGTTATACACCATCATCAGAATCCCTTAGTATCTACCTGTAATCTTATTTTTTATCATTTTAATAAGCTTTACTTTGTTACAACTTGTGTTTATCATCACTTTGGTGATCACCCAGATTCCAAAGCAGTGTGTTCTTTTGTAGAATACCAGATGATTGACAAAGCACAAAAACCCACTGATCCTGAGTGTTATACATCATCATCAGAATCCCCTAGTATCTACTTATAATCATATGTTTTATCATTTTCATAAGCTTCACTTTACTACAACTTGTGTGTATCATCACTTTGGTCAGCAATTACTTACTTACTTAGCGGCCTCCGTAGTCTAGGGATAACGTTCCCACCTCATGACTCAAGGTACGCAGGTTCAAACCCGGCGTATGTCGTGGAATTTTTAAGGGTGGAAAATTTCAGGGAACAAGTCCTCCGGGAGGGACTTTAAGCCATGGGTCCCATGTCGTAGATTTACGGCATGTAAAAGATCCTCATGTCTCTAGGAGACCTCTGAGCAAAATTAGGCAAAGTTTCCCACCCAAGTAGTTTCCAATGCCTCTGGTAGATGAGGGAAATATCAGGTACCGACAGCCGACCTCGTTGGCTGAATGGGGCTGATAACACGCACCAGTACTGGTAGGGTATGGCGACAGTAGAAATTAAAGGGGGACACACAGTGGACCAATAACTGGTCTAAGTGCATGGGGAAACCCACCCCCTCTAATAATAATAATAATAATTATGTAAGTAAGTATTATTATTATTATAATAATAATAATAATACTTACTTACTCATGGAGCTGAGCCCTTCTGGAGGCGCCGCCAATTCTGCAGCTACTCAAGAATTTCCCAGCATTTTATGGATCCCGAA